ATTTTTTTAATGAAAAAAATATATAATTATGCAAGATGTATAAATAGACAAATTACAAATAGTAGTAGATCAAAATCATTTACACAGATTTGTAAATATGATGAAATAAGTTTAGAATGGTTAATTCTAAATCGAAACTATCAATTAATGTTTTATAAAATTAATAGACAGGAAGAATTTATTGATGAAGTGTTTGAATCAAAAATATTACTACAATTCATTAATATTGTTTCAGTCAAATTAAAAGAGTTACATCCACAATTAGAAGATTTAAAAAAGGAAGAAAAAAATATTTTCAAAAAATTTTATAATTCAAATTATCAGAAATTAATTAAATTTAAGCTTTCAAATGGTCATGAAAATAGTTTGATTAGATGCTTTGGTTTATTATCTTTTTTAATGACTCCAATAAGTTACCAATTTTTTAAAATTGTTTACAAGGATCAAAAGAATAGATTAACAGACGCTGAATTTCAAAAAAATATTAAATCACCACAAAAAATTTATATAGATGGTATTCAAATAGAATTAACTCTATTGGATTTAGCAATTTATTTTGGTAATTTAAAGATTATAAATTTTGTTTATAATAAAATTGGTATCAAAGAATTTAATATAGATCAAATTGTTAATTTTTCTTTAAATTCTGAAAATAGAAATTTAGTTATTGAAAATTTTATATTATCAAATAATGATCTAAAATTAAAATTTTTATCATCTTTAACAAATTATAATACTAAAATTCAAAAAGAACAAAAAATATCAAATTCAGAGAGTAATGATTATGATAGTTATTTTAGAAATTTATTGAAATTAGATTTTAAACTACTAAAAAAACTATATGGATTTGGTATGAAATTTAATTACGATTTTTTAATTTTCAAGGAGATAACATTTTTTGAATATGGTAAAATAATTGGTTGTGTTACTGAAATCAATGACAAATTTATTAACTTTATACAATCTTCATTGTTTTTATGTGCAATAGTTTTTAGAAATCAAAGATATCTTTCAATTTTAAAAAAATTAAATTATTTATTGGATTACTCTAATAATAATAATAATAATAATAATAATAATAATAATAATAATAATAATAATAATAATAATAATAATAATAATAATAATAATAATAATAATAATAATAATAATAATAATAATAATAATAATAATAATAATAATAATAATAATAATAATAATAATAATAATAATAATAATAATAATAATAATAATAATAATAATAATAATTTAAATGACAGTGATAAAACACCATTACTAAATAATAATGATTTTTATTTATTAGAAAGAAAAGATTTAGTTACTATAAATGAAGAACAATTTATTTATTTAGAAAATAATCAACAACAATATAAACATCAAAATAATATATTTAAAACGAATAAAAAAGAAGAAGCTAAAAAACTTTGGTTAGAAATTGGACAAAATGAAGATATTTTAAATTTACAAGGTAGATATTGTGATTTAGAACCAATTAAATATGAAAATTTTAATCTAGACAGAGAGATAAAGAGGCTTTTGATTTTTGATTACTTAAGAATAGATTTAAAAAATCATGATAATTTAATATTAGTAAACTCTAATGACTGGGGAATATTTGTAATGAGTTTTTCATGTCAATTTAAAGAGGAAGAGCTACTATATAGAACAATTACAAATGACATTAATAAATATGGTGAGCTTGAACAAAAGTGCATATTAAATTTTTATGAAATGTTATCAATTTCAATGAGTTTTTGCGATTTTAATTTAATTCAAACCATTTTAAAACTTGAAAATACTTTTAATTTTCAATTTTCTTCGTCATTAAATGATTCAACTATTCCCAATGTTCCTCTAAGTTGGATTCGAGAAGATGAATTATTTAATCTTGAAAAAACACCAATTAGAAATCAAATTAAATTTATTCACTCTTTATTTTCAGCTCAACATAACCAACTAACTATCAAAAAAGTTTTAAAACATATACTTTCTAAAGAAAATAAAACCTTATTTTCACCACCTACTACCACCACAACCGTCAATCTATTAAAAGAATCACAAAATTGCGAAAGTTATTTATATGAAATCGGTAATATAATCTATGTTAATTGGTTTGAAAAAAATTATAAAATTGATGCACTTTCATTAGAAGATAATGAAATCACAATTATCTATTATTATAATTCAACAAATTTTAAACAATTGTTTAATTGGAGTAATAGTTTTATTTCAACCAATATAATTTCTAAAGGTAATTTAAAATTAATTAAATTTTTACATGATAATAAAATTGGTTCAATGGATTTAGATTTTTCAATAGGAAGTTCAAAAACATTAGAGGTTGCAAAATTTATGTATGATCAATTAGGATATAGATTTAATTCACCCTATTGTTTACAAGGGATTTCTTTTTTAAAACAAAATGATTCAAATCTCTTATTTGATTGGAGTCTAAATAAAATTATTTTCGATAATAATAATAATAATAATAATAATAATAATAATAATAATAATAATAATAATAATAATAATAATAATAATAATAATAATAATAATAATAATAATAATAATAATAATAATAATAATAATAATAATAATAATAATAATAATAATAATAATAATAATAATAATAATAATAATAATAACTCAACAATTATTAAATTTACAAATAGTGCAAATTTATGCTATTCCCAAATTAAATTGATACAAGAGAAAATTAGTGATGGTTCTTTAGATCCTTCAAGAATATCAATACCAGAATCATTCTTTGATAAACTATATGATATCAATTATATTTTCTCGTTTTGCAATTGGGATTTTATTTACTCCTTCTTGGATGAATTTGAAATGAATAAAGACAACCCAACTAAAGCATTGAAATACAATTTAAATTTTTTAAACACCACTAAAACTATAAAACCTTTTTTAAAAATTCATTTCGATAAATTTATTATCGATTTTGAAAAAAGATTTACAAATAAATAAAATAAAAAAAATAATACAAATAAATGACGTTTTGTTTCTGTTCTACTTTTTTAAATTAATTTTTTTTTCTTTTAAGTGTCTTGTTGACTACAAAAAATATTTATTCATAACAATATTGACGATTTAACTAATAACAAAGGGGTGAAAAAAATTAAAATAATAATTATAATTAGTTGATACAACTAATTTAATTACAAGGGTACAAAAAAATAGTAGATTCTTTTTTATTATTTTTTATTAAAAGCTAAAATATTAATAATTTAAAGTTGACCACAGTCAGCAATGACGACTGGTTTTGAGGTTTTACCGGATTGTGAACCAGCAGCTTCCATCTTTTTGATGACATCCATACCTTGTTCAACGAAACCGAATACGACGTGTTTACCATCTAACCAATCAGTTGCTATATGATGAAAGAAATAAAATAGAAAAAAAAGGAAAAAAAAATTAGTATAAAAAAAAAAAAAAAAAAAAAAAAAAAAACATTTGGTAATAATCTTTTTAACACATACGGGCAGTACAGATAAAGAATTGTGAACCATTGGTGTGTGCACCAGCATTGGCCATTGAAAGGGTACCTGGACCGAAATGTTTTAATTTGAAGTTTTCATCTTGGAATTTGCTACCATAGATTGATTCACCACCAGTACCATTACCGTGAGTAAAGTCACCACCTTGACACATGAAGTTGGTGATAACACGATGGAAGGCTGAACCTTTGTATGATAATTGTTTACCTGATTTACCAACACCTTTTTCACCAGTGCATAATGCCTATAGGAGAGAAAAAAATAAAAAAATAAAAATAAATAAAATTATATGGTTAGTTATTTAATCATAAGGTACTATTTAATGTTTTTTTTTTTTAGTGTAAAAGATACTTACTCTGAAGTTTTCAGCAGTCTTTGGGACTGTGTTGGCATATAATTCCATAACTACTCTACCGGCTTTTTCACCTCCGATGGTAATATCGAAGAAAACACGTGGATTTGTTTCGCTGGTTGGTTTAACAGTTGTCATTTTTAATATCTATTTTAGGTGTGAGAATTATAATAGTTAATATTTTAAAATTGGAATAAATTTAATTATCTATTTTCTCAAAAACTCTTACATTTTATCTTTTGGATTGAAATTGAAATAAAATTTAAAAAAAAAAAAAAAAAAAATTAGGAAGCGAATTTTTTCATTTTTTTTTTGAAATTTAAAAAAAAAAAAAAAAATTGAAAAAATTGAAAAAATTCAAAATAAGTTTGGGGTGAACTTCTATGGGTCAGACTACAAGTTTTTTTTTTTAAATTTTTTTTTTTTTTTTGAAAAAAAAATTATGATAATTAATAATTATTAATTATCATTATTTTAATTATTTATTTAAGTTCTAAACAAAATAAAAGGAATTTTTATCTTTTATTAAAAAATGTATAACTGAACAACTTCATTGAAAATTTTTTTTTCATAGCTAATATTTTTTTCATGGCCAATATTTTTTTTTTTTTTTTTTTTAGTGGGGTATTACTTGAATTTTAATCCCCTTTTTTTTTTTTTTTTTATAAAAAATTGAATACCAATTTTCACCACTTTTATTTTAAAATAAGACATTTTTTTTTGATTCTTTTATTTTGTTCAATTACAGTCAGGCTTTTATAAAACCAATGAAATATTATTAATTATGTGCCAGACTGGTGCTATGATCAACATTGGTAATCATAGGTCACCATCGTTCCAGAACATTCTTTACGTCTTGTTAAATTAATTATGAGCCTTTTTATAATATTATAGTGAAATATGTTTTATATTTATTTAAAGTATTTATTTAAATTATAATTTTTTATATTTTTATATATTTTTTTATTAATATTAATAGTATTGTAATAATAAGTAAAATTAAAAAATGATAACTTCAACTACCTTTTTTTTTTTTTTTATTAAATTGCCGTAAACAACTTTTTTTATTTTTTTTTTTTTTTAAAGTGGTCGACTATCTATAGGCTCTATTAATTCAAAAACCATCATCATTTGACATCTTATCAAAGTGGTTACTGAGTTTGACTCGAAATCAAATCCCTTCGGGGGCGCAGGTTCAAATCCTGCAGATGTCGATAATTTATACTGAGAAATTTATAATGGTCAAGGGTTCGACTCCGGGTGTCGATTTTTATAAGATAGGTGAAAAGGAGCTTCAAGATACCAATCTGGATTTTGAATTGATAACACACAGCCTCCATGGCCTTGGTTCGATCATTGGATCATAAATAACACACCTCATAATTAACCGGAAAAAGCTCGACTTCCAAAAACAGCCAAAAAAACATGGTGATTAGAAATTCTTATCCAATAATATTAAAAAAAAAAAAAAAAAATACTAGTTTCATAGAATATATCAAATTATTAAAAGACTACATATTATCAGCAGCCAACGACTAAAAAGATAAAAAAAAAATAAAATAAAAAAAACTACTAAATAAACTTTATTATTTTATAAGAATAAGATCTTTCAAAATAGTTACTAACTATTAAAAAAAAAAACATGGACAAAGAAATTCAAACAAAAAAGAAAAAATATTAATTGTTCAGTTTAACTAAAAAGTTTTATTGTTATTGATTAAATAAATACACAAAATAAAAAATCTGGATTTAAAAAACAACCACATACAATATCATATTGAAAAAATAACCTATGGAATTGCAAACACATTCTAAACACAAAACCTTTACCCTTTTTTCTAAAACCAGCATTTTTTTAACCGATTTATAAAATCCAATTAAATAAAAACACTATACAAATAATGAATTACTTTGCAATAAAAAAAAAAAAAAAAACTTCATGCGAATATTGAATTAATTTAAAATTACCAAACATTTACAATTAGTGAGTTGCCATACGATTAGAAAAAAAAAAAAAAAAAAATTACAAAAACACCATCCCTTAAGGTTTTAAAATTAATATTGACACACTTTTTTTCTCATAAAAATTCAAATTAAAGAGATTCATAAAATATTAAAAAAAAAAAATTAATTATGATAACATAAATTGAATTTCAATTTGTTGTCTAAAAGAGTTAAAAAAAAAAAAACTATCTCATAAGAATATTATAAATTTCTTTCTCCATTAGGATTCTTATATTATAAAAAAAATTAATTAATTGTGAAAAATTTCAATATAGAAAAAAGATTTTAAATTTTTTATCTTTCAATTTTAAAAAAAAGAAAATTAAATGAACTCTAATTTTTTTTTTTTTTTTAATATGTTTGAATAAATAGTTTAACTATTATAGTTATTACTAATTATTTCCTTAAAAAACAAATTGGTGGTTTTCATTAAAATAAATATATAAAAAAAATGAATTTGTCTATAATAATACTTATTATTTTAATATTTTTTTTTTTTTTAAAAAAAGTACTTAAAAAATTTAATTTTTTTTTAATTTTTTGTTTTAATTTTTTATTCTAATTTTTTTCTAATTTTTTATTATTTTTTTTTTTATTAATTTTTTTTTTTCAAAAGAATAATAATAGAATAAGATCAATTAATTCAAAAATCCCAGGACCAATTGGTTTACCAATTATAGGTAACTTACTTCAATTAAAAACTGAACCACATCAAGTATTATTTCAATGGTATGAAAAGTATGGACCAATTTTTTCCATTAGAATGGGCAGTATTGATACTGTGATTTTATCAGGTTATCCAATTATAAAGAGAGCATTAAAAGATAACCCAAGAATTTTCACAAATCGATATGAGTATTGGAGTAAAATTCAAATGAATAATGCTTCAAATTTAATGATGAGTAATGGTAATCAACATTCAATACTAAGAAAAACCGTCCATTCGGAATTAACAACCATAAGGGTTAAAAAATTGGAAAGCTACATTGTCAGAGAAGTTGAAAAACTATGTAAAATACTTGATCAACATTGTCAAGATGGTACTAGTTTTTCAATGAACCCCTACGGTAACATTTTCTCTCTAAATATTGTCGTTAGATTTTTATTTGGACTTGATATTGAATATAATGATGAAAAAATGAAAGAATTTTCAAAAATAGTTTCAAGTTTGTTTGATTCTGCAGGAACACCAATTATATCAGATTTTATACCTTTAGCAAGACCATTTGAAAATTTTAAAGGTGATAGATTTAAAATAGTTTACAATAATATTAGTAGTTATATAGAATCATTTGTAAATGAATATAAATTAAAAAAACAAAATGGGTTAATAGATGAGGAAAATGATTCAACAATTGTTGGAAAATTATTAAAAGAATTTGAAAATGGTTCAATATCATGGGATAATTTAATTGGAACTCTTTCTGATATTTGTGCAGGTGGTAAGTTTTAGGCCTATATAGAGTTATTTCTTTTGTTTTTATCCTTTTTTTTTTTTTTATTAATATTTTTTTAATTATCAAAAATAAAAAAAGGTGGAGATACAGTAGCTGATTCAATTACATTTGCTTTAATTGCTTTAACAAATAATTCAAGTTGCCAAGAGAAACTTTATAATGAAATTAAAAAATCATTAATTAAAAATAATGATGATTGTGATAATGAAAATAAAGATGTGTTTGTTATTAAACATAGTATATATCGTTCATTGATACCTTACCTATCAATGGTAATTAAAGAGACATATAGATTATTCCCAGTTGCATTATTAACTTTACCAAATGTTACAGATCAAGATTTTGAAATTGATGGTTACAAAATCGCAAAAGGTACCAAAATAATTAAAAATATATTAGTTAGCCATAGAAGTAAAGATTTTTTCCCATCACCAAATAGTTTTATTCCTGAAAGATTCATTGAAACTGGTAATAACTTTATGTTTGGTTGCGGTGATACAAACTCATTACAATTTGGTATTGGCACAAGAGATTGTATTGGTAAATCATTAGCAGATTGCGAAATGTTTACAGCTATTGCAACTCTTATAAATAGATATGAATTTATAAATCCAACACCTTCAAAACCATATGATGAGTTAGGCACACCATGTTTAAGTCTTCAACCTTGTCATGCTAATTTTATAATTAAAAAAAGAAAATAAAATAAAGTTAATTTTCAATGGGGATTAAAACCATTTAAAATTTATTTTTTATCGGCATAACCAAATGAAATTTTTTTACAGAAACAGTGTTGTACATAAGAGCCCAACTCTGCACCATTACCTGAGTTTTCATTTTTTGTTAAAAAGTAAAAAAAAAAAAAAAAAAAAAAAAAAAAAAAAAAATTAAAAAAAAAATTTAATATATTTCTATATAAAGTCGATAAACTTGCATAAGGATATCTTTTTATTTGTAAAATTATTTAGAGTGCGTCTTATCGAAAAGATTTATTTTATAATTTAAAACCCTCGGATAATAAGTTTACCACTATTAACTATAAAATCTATAGAAAGTATAATTTAACCGAAAATAATTAAAAAAACAGTTTGTGGTATTGTTTTTTTTATATGTTATTAAAATCTAAAATTAATTATTTATAATAAATTTTTTTTGTTACCCCCATATGGAAAGAAAGTCTCATCGTTCGGAAAAAGTCCCAAATTGTAAATCCTTCTTAATTTAAAATAATGATTTTTTTTTTTTTTATATAAAATTGCAAATAAAATTATTTTTATTTCAAATTATTTTTATTATTAAATCCTAAAATGAATTTTTTTATAACCCTTTTTATTTTAATAATATGTTATTTTCTATTTTTTAAAAAAGTAAATTTTTAAAATTTTAATTTTTTTTTTTTTTTATTTTTTTATTTTTATTTTCTTTCACCTAAAATTATTATTTTTAAAATTAAAATAAATAGGAAAATAGAATTAGAAAAATCAATTCAAAGATACCAGGCCCTAAAGCATTACCAATAGTTGGAAATTTACATGAATTAAAAAATGATCCACTAACTCGATTTCAAAATTGGTACGAAAAGTATGGAGCAATTTATTCAATTAGAATGGGTAATATTGATAGTGTTGTTTTAACTGGATATCCAATCATTAGAAAAGCATTTATTGAAAATTCAAATGTATTTGCACCAAGATATCATCGTTGGAGTAGATTGAAATTAAATGGATGTAGAAATTTATCAGGATCAAACGATGAACTTCATACAACTCTAAAGAAAATAGTATTATCAGAAATGACACCAACAAGAATCAAGAGAATGGAAAATCATATAGCATGGGAATGTGAAAAAATTTCAAAGATTTTAGACAAACATTGTGAATCTGGTTTACCATTTTCATTAAATATGTATTGTAAATTATTTTCTCTAAATATTATAATGCGTTTTTTATTTGGTATTGATTATTCATATGAAAATCAAGAGAACCAAGAAATAGTTAGTCTCGTAATGGAATGTTTTTATCATGGTGGAAGTGCAATTATGTCTGATTTCATACCAATCATTAGACCATTTTACAAAGAAAATAAATTCTTTCAATTATATACAACTTTAACTGGTCATATTAACCAATTGATTGAAAACTATAAACTTGAAAAGAGTAAAAAAAAAAGTGGTGCAGCTACTTCTAGTGAGGATGAAGAAACGATAATGGGTAAATTATTAGAAGAATTTAATAATGGTTCAATAGGATGGGACAGTTTGGTTAGTACATGTGTTGATGTTTTAATAGGAGGTACACATACAACATCAAATACTGTTATTTTTTCATTGATTGCATTGGCAAATAACCCCGATTGTCAAGATAAACTATATGATCAAATTAAAAATAATCGTCAAATGTCTAAAGATGAGTTGGTTGTTAGACACAGTGTACATCGTTCATCTATACCATACCTTTCATTGGTAATAAAAGAGACATATAGATTATATCCAGTTTCATTAATAGGTTTGCCACATGTAACTAGTGAAGATGTTGAAATTGGAGGCTATACCATTGCAAAAGGTACTCAAATCATTCAAAATATATTCGCTTCTCACAAGTGTGAAAAAACATTCCCATCACCAAATAGTTTTATTCCAGAAAGATTCATTGAAACAGGTTGCAATAATATGTTTGGTGGTGGTCCAACAAATTTGGTTCATTTCGGTACTGGTGTTAGAGACTGTGTTGGTAAATCATTAGCTGATTGTGAAT